AGCAGGGAGCCCGATGCGGGACTCGATCCTGGGACTCCAGGATCATGACCTGAGCCGAAGGCAGTCGCTCAACCAACTGAGCCACCCAGGCGCCCGACACTGTGGCTTTGATTTGCATTTCCTTGATGATGAGTGACGTTGAGCATCTGTTCAAGTGTTGGTCATCTATATGTCTTTGGAGAAATGTCTGTTCTCTTTATGTCTTCTGCCCATTTTTTAATTATTATTATTTTGGTGTCATATAAGTTCTTTATATATTTTGGATACTAACCCTTTATCAGATATCATTTGCAAATATTGATGCTATTAATCTTAATACCATTAGGATAATTTATTTTATTCAACATATAATTTATTATATTATAGCAGATTGATTACCTGTTGGTATATTCCTTATCTTATTTCTCAAAGCATGAAATGTACAGAATCTGAAGAAGAAGAGGTCACTAAAGGAAAGGAAAATCAGCTTCAACTTAGCTGTTTTATCAATCAAGAAGTCAAGTATCTTTTTACAGGACTTAAATTGGTAAGATCAATTACAGTTGATCCTCATTATAAATAGATTCTGTATTTGCAGGTGCATCTACTTGCTAAAATTTATTTGTAACTGTAACAACAGTACTTGGTGCTTTCATGGTCATTTGTAGACATGTTCCGAGTGGCAAAAATTTTGAGTTGCTAGACACAGTCTCACCGGAGGTCCAAAAAAGTGATGCTCTGCCTTCTTGTTTCAGCTCATACTGTTAACAAGTGTCCTTTTACTGTTATTTTAGTACCACAACTTTCTGCAATTTTGTGCTTTTTGTTGATTTGCTGTTTAAAATGGCCTTCAGGCATAGTGCTGAAGTGCTATCTAGTGTTCTAAGCCTGAGAAGGCTGTGTGTGAATGTTTATTAGATAAGCCTTAAGGAGAAAATCATGTTTGATAGATAAGCTTCATATAGGGATGGGTTATAGTATAGTTGGCTGTGAAGACAATGAGTTGTCATTAAATAGAAACATACATGACACAAGGTTGTGTATTGATAGGTTGACAGAAGTGTTGTGACCAGAGGCTTGCAGGAGGCCTCTGAGGGTATTATAGTGAGAATTTATTAGTAATAATGAGGTATAAACTGGGATTGTACTGTGTAAATCAGGCCACGTAGGCCCTCTGCCTTTGCACACTATTGCACCTGAGGTCCTGGAATGTAAGTGACTTCATTGCTTTGTCGCAGAGCTGGGTCTAGAACTTGATTCTCTCATTCGCCAGTTAGTACTCTTTCCCCATTTTCATACTACAGAATGCACTCTCATGAGCAGATTGATAAAATACAACAGTTTTGCTTGCTAATTTAGTATTTTGATATGGTTTGGGAAATACGTACATGTTTTGAAGGATAGGCAATGAATTGGGGCAGGGAGTGCATTGATAAACAAGATAATTTGTCATCAGGGAGTTCCCATCTACAGTTTGGGGTAAGATCAGTTAGGGGAGTGGTTGGTAAATACAGACATAAGAGGCAAAGGGAGAAAGTAATATTCTCTGTCCTGTGATACTGGGCGGGGGGGGAGTGTAGTGAGGCATACTGGCTTTTAAGAGAAGTTCATTTTAAAAGCTTAAAAATAATGGCTAACCACTAAGAGTCCTATAACAAATTATGACGTGCAAGTTTCAGGACATCAGAACATGAAGCATAAATGTAATTGGAGAGTATTGAATGGAATGTTTTGGCAGGGACTCTTCAGGATGATATTTTTTCTTCATAATTTTATAAAATTCCAGAAAAGCTAAATGTACTTGGAGCTTCTAGGTGATAGTGGATTGGTGATAATATGTATAGCTTACCTGATGAATAACATCACACCAGATACATGTTCTTGAGAAGCATGTATTTATGAGATGTATTGTCTTGCCCATTGTTTAGATGCTTTATCATCATTTGTTCTGATTATTCTAGAGTAATTTGGCTCCATATTTCTTTACCTTTTTGCTGTTGAACAAACTTGATTAAATGTTAAAAAGCTACACGGTGATTCCTTTTGTAATGAGATTAGTAATTTCTGAAAACTAAAAAAAAAATTTTTACACAAGTAACATGCTTATAGTGAACATTAACAGTAAATTTTTTACTGTAATTTCTTGTGTATTAATGTTCTTACAAAGCAGAGCACATTAGTAGTGCTTTTTTTAATATTAGAAATAGTAGCTTATGTTCATTAAATGTAGAATATATGCCAAATGGTTGTCCATGTTTTTTTACAGGTACTAACGTAGTTCTAACAACAGCACTATGATGTATAGATATTATCATCATTTCCATATGATGCCCAGAGGGGATAACTGTCTTGTTCAGTGTCACATAGGCTGTAAAAAATGGAAAGGCAGATATGATGGTTAAGATATGTATAGTGGCTAAAGGCTTTTCCACATTTGTTAGATTTACAGGTTTTCTTTGTGATGACTTTTCTCAAATTTGAGAATAATTGGTTCTAGAAGCCTTTTATACATAAAGGATGAAGAACAGGGGTTTCCTACATTCTCGTAATTGTCCTCCTATATGAGTATTCTAATAATCTGTATGTAAGCAGAAGCCCTAAAGGCTTTTTTTTTTTTTTATTTAAAGATTTTATTTATTTATTTGAGACAGAGAGAATGAGAGAGAGAGAGCACATGAGAGGGGGGAGGGTCAGAGGGAAAAGCAGGCTCCCTGGATGCGGGACTCGATCCAGGAACTCCAGGATCATGACCTGAGCCGAAAGCAGTCGCTTAACCAACTGAGCCACCCAGGCGCCCGGCTTTTTTATGTTATATAAAATACAGTGTAAACTCAGAATCTGAGCAACATTTGGGTCACAATTTAAAACTTCAAACATTACTTACATTCTGAGGAGTTCACACCAGTATAAATTGATAACCTTTTAAGAACTGAATCATATCTAAAAGCCTTCCTACATTGTCTTCATTGAAATTATTTTTCAGTGGCATGAATCCATTGATGTATATTGTCTACTGAGGAGTACTAATTTTTAAAAGAACTAAAAGTGTGATTCTAGGGGCACCTGGCTGGCATGCAACTCTTGATCCTCGAGGTCATCAGTTCAAGCCCCACTTTGGCTGTAGAGCTTACTTTAAAAAAAAGTGTGATTCTGTATTGCAGAAAAAATTCTTTAAAACTAAAAATGTTTGATCTTCTGTTACGTTCTTTTTTTAGCGACTTCAGGAAGAAATCACTAAACAGTCTCCAACATTGCAAAGAAATGCTTTATATATCAAATCTGTAAGTTTTTCATTCCTTTTGAATTTGAATCCATTTTGATGAAAGGTTTCCAGTTAGTTAATTTTACCCAGTCTTTGTTTTTTTCCCAAACCAAGCATTAAAAACTTCTGTGGTATTTGCATGTGATAGGATTTCTTGCATTTTTTTTCCCCTCAGTCTAAGATCAGCCGACTACCTGCTTACTTGACAATTCAGATGGTTCGATTTTTTTATAAAGAGAAGGAATCTGTGAATGCTAAAGTTCTTAAGGTTAGTAATGAACTTCAGTATAATAAAATATTGTAATTCACAATAGATTTCTTTCTTCCTTTAGGGATAAACTTTCTTTGAAATATTATAAGTAGGGAAGTTATTAACATTAGACAAGTGGTTCTTTGTTTGTTTGTTTGTCAGAGAGAGGGACAGCATGCACAAGCAGGGAGAGCAGGAAGCAGAGGGAGAAGCATGCTCCCTGCTGATTAAGAGCCCCATGTGGGAATTGATCCTAGGACTCTGGGATCATGACCTGAGCTGAAGGTAGACGCGTAACTGACTGAGCCACCAGGCGCCCCTGTCCTTTTTTTTTTTTTTTTAAAGATTTTATTTATTTGACAGAGAGAGATACAGCGAGAGAGGGAACACAAGCGGGGGGAGAGGGAGAGGGAGAAGCAGGCCTCCCGCCGAGCAGGGAGCCCGATGCGGGGCTCGATCCCAGGACCCTGGGATCTGACCTGAGCCGAAGGCAGACGCTTAACGACTGAGCCACCCAGGCGCCCCACCCCTGTCCTTTTTATTTTAAATCATACACATGCCTGACTTTCACTACCAGCCCACCCCTAGCATTTGATTAAGTAGGGCCTGAAGTCCTAAAAATTTTTCATAAGATTCACAATTAGTTCTGATGGATGCCCTCCACTCCCCAGAAATACTGCTCTAGACCAGATCCTCAACTCCACAGATACTGACTCAGCAGGTTTAGAGGATGGGAGTGTGGGGTAGGAGGCATGCTGCACTCTCCAGTATGGTAGCTGTAATCTCTTGAGTAAGAGCCAGCCTTATGATGTAGCTGTTTTGTAGAACTGTAGCTCTGCTACATATCCACAGTCCGTGATCCCTGGGAGAGATATATATAATTCTGTCCTCTTGAGCTGAAATTCATAATACAATTTCAAATATACTTACTGTTATATGATAAGGTTAAATGTAGTTGGAGTATTTACAGTTGTTAACTTTATGTATTAATATTAGTTTTGAACTGTATCACTATTATTTCTTTGTAAAGGTGTATTTCAAATTACAAAAAGTCATTAAGTGACCCCATTTGTAAATTGATTCCATTGTCAGTTTTAGGTATCCATTATTTTCACAGCAACTGATGTGCTGTTTCTGAAATGCTTCTTTTGTCATATAAATTTGGTAACTCTTCTGTGGTCAGAGTCTTGGGTTTAATTGGAAAAAAAAGCTAAACAAATTTTTTTAATCTTAAAAAGTTAGAACCAGGGGTGCCTGGTTGGCTCAGTCAGTAGAGCATGCGACTCTTTATCTTTTTTTTTTTTTTAAGATTTTATTTATGTATTTTACAGAGAGAGTGAGAGACAGAGCATGAGCAGGGCGGAGGAGGAGGCAGAGGGAGAGGGAGAAGCAGGCTCCCCACTGAGCAGGGAGCCTGATGTGGGACTTGATCCCAGGACCCCTGGGATCATGACCTGAGCCGAAGACAGGTGCTTAACCAACTGAGCCAACCAGGTGCCCCGTGATTCTTGATCTTAGGGTTGGAGCCTATTTAAAAAAAAAAAAAAAGTTGGGACCACATTGAAAATAAGCACTATGATGTTTTCAGCTGCATAGATTTCCAAGTGATTTTTATGAATTTTATTTTCAACTTCATTTGAATTATGAAAGTACTACTGTAAAAGTATGATATTTTAAATAAGTACCTTTATAAGGGTGTTTACACATACTCTTTCTTTTTGGTTTGTATATAGGATGTTAAATTTCCTCTTATGTTGGATGTGTATGAACTGTGTACCCCAGAACTTCAGGAGAAAATGGTCTCTTTTCGAACAAAATTCAAGGATCTAGAAGATAAAAAAGTGAATCAGCAGCCAAAGACAGTAGGTTCTTATTGCTGATTTTCTCATCTTAATAGTTTAATCTTTAATCAGTGTTCAACAATTACTGTTACTCTCTTAGTAATTACTTTGTTAATCTCTCAGTAAAAATGGATGAACCTTTATTTTATTTAGCACATATACAAAGTTTTAGGTGTATTGTAGCATAAGAAAAAGAACTCTAGTTATGGTAAATAGGCCCTTTATGGTAGAGTAAGCTTAATATTTTCTTTTTGCCTGTAATCTGTAGCCTATATTCCTTTTATATTTATCTCCTCAAAGCATTTCACATAAAGTGTTGCCTAGTATTTTCAGTGTATTTTATTGTTTTCCTTGTAAGTCATGGAGTTATTTCTATTTGTAGATGGAATTAGTGGGATAGAATCCTGGCTCATCTATGCCTATAGTGACAAATAAGTTGTATCTTTTTAATTTGTTATTTAATTTTTATTTAAATTCAAGTTAGTTAACATAGAGTACAGTATTGGTTTCAGGAGTAGAATTCAGTGATTCATCACTTACATACAACACCCAGTGCTCATCACAACAAGTGCCCCCCTTAATGCCCATCGTCATCTAGCCCATCCCCCACCTGCCTTGCTCCAGCAACTCTCCGTTTGTTCTGTATGGTTAAGAGTCTTTTATAGTTTATTTCCCTGTCTCTCTCTTTTTCCCCCCTCCCCCTATGTTTATCTGTTTTGTTTCTTAAACTCCACATGAGTGAAATCATATGATACTTGTCTTTCTCTGACTGACTGACTTCACTTAGTGTAATACACTCTAGCTCCATCCATGTCATTGCAAATGGCAAGATTTCGTTCTTTTTGCTGGTTGAGTAATATTCGCGCGTGTGTGTACACACATGTCTTTATCCATTCATCAGCCGATGGACATTTGGGCTCTTTCCAGAGTTCGGCTGTTGTTGATGGTGTTGCTATCAACATCAGGATGCATGTGTCCCTTCGCATCTGTCTTTTTGTATCCTTTGGGTAAATACCTAGTAGTGCTGTTGCTGGGTCGTAGGGTAGCTCTGTTTTTAACTTTTTGAGAAACCTTCATACTGTTCTCCAGAGTGGCTGCACCAGCTTGCATTCCCACCAACAGGGCAAGAGGGGTTCCCCTTTTTTCTGCATCCTCACCAACACCTGTTGTTTCTTGTGTTAATTTTAGCCATTCTGACTGGTGTGATAAATTGTATCTTTTAATAAGTGCTGCTTGTATGCCTGCCTATAATTGCTAAAATCACAACCTTAGGAAACTTTATATTTAATAAGTTGTATCATTTTAGGTTCAGATAGGGTACAGCTGAACTGTGTTGGATTTTTTTTTTCCCCACAATGAAAAAGATCTTTCTTGATAACTAGAAATATTTCCAGTGTGATACTATATATCATTTAAATTCTGCAAATTACTGTGGGTGTGTAGTGCGTGTGTGTAGTGCGTGTGTTAAATGGTTTTTTTTTTTAACATTAAAATTTATTTTGAGGTAATTGTAGAATCACATGCATTTATAAGAAATAATATGAAGAGGGGCGCCTGGGTGGCTCAGTGCATTAAGTGACTCCTCCTGCTCATGTCGTAATCCCAGCGTCCTGGAATTGAGCCCCCCATCGGGCTCCCTGCTCAGCTCCCTGCTTCTCCTCCCTGCTCAGCTCCCTGCTTCTCCTCCCTGCTTCTCCTTCCTCTGCCTGCCACTCCCCCTGCTTGTGAGTGCACTCTCTCTCTGTGTCAAATAAATAAATAAAATCTTTAAAAAAAAAAAAAAAAAGAAATAATATGAAGAGATCCAGGTACCTTTTACCAAGTTTCCCCTGTGGTAATATCTTACAAAACAATAACACAGTATCACAACTTGGATATTGATTTTGATGCAGTCTAGATACAGTACATTCTCATCACTACAGAAATTCCACATACTGCCCCTTTGTAGACAAACCCACTTTCCTTTGGCCCCTGCCTCCTCTTCAATTCCTAGCAACTGTTAACCTGTTCTCCATTTCTGTAGTTTTGTCATTTTAAGATACGAAATGGAATATATATATATATATATAGTATAGTATACATATACTATATATATATACTATATAAATGGAATCCTATCATATATAACTTTTTGGGATTTTCTTTTCTCAGCATACATAATTCTCAGGAAATTAGCCCAGGTTATTTTGTATAACAGTAGTTCCTTCTTTTTTGTTGCTGAATAGTATTCTGTTATGCATATACCATATTTTGCTTAACCATTCAGCTGTTGAAGGACAGCTGGATTGTTTCTAGTTTCATTTATTTTGAATAAAGTTGCTATAAGTATTCATGTACCATTTTTTTTTTTTTTAATTTTTTATTTGAGAGAGAGCGAGTGTGAGTAGGGAGAGGGGCAGAGAGAGAGGGAGAAGCAAACTTCCTGCTGAGCAGGGAGCCCTGTGTGGGACTCAATCCCAGGACTCTGGGATCATGACTTAAGCCGAAGGCAGATGCTTAACCGACTGAGTCACCCAGGTGCCCCTCATGTACCAGTTTTAGTGTAAACATAACTTTTCATTTCTCTGGAAATAAATACCCAGTAGTATAATTGCTAGATTGCATGGTAGTTGTATATTTAATTTTTAAAGAAACTGTCAAAGGTTTTCCATAGGGACTGTACCATTTTAAATGCTCATTAGCAGTATATGACTGATCCACTTTGTGCATTCTTGCTAGAATTTGGTGATGTCAGTATTCTTTATTTTAGCCATTTGGATAGGTTTGCAGTGATACCTCATTGTGGTTTTTAATTTGCTTTTTCCTAGTGGCTAATGATGTTGAGTGTGTCTTCATGTATTTATTTGCCATCTGTATATCCTCTTTGGTGAAATGTTTCTTCTTGTCTGTTCATTTTCTAATTGTGCTATTTTTCACTCTTGAATTTTGAGAGTTTTTTGTATTATAAATACTAATCCTTTGTCAGATACATGGCTATCATATATTTTCTCCTTGCCTTTGTCTTTATCTTTTCATCTTCTTTAGGGTCTTTTGCAGAGGAAAAGTTTTTAATTTTTAGGTAATCCAGTGTATTTTTCTTTGGTTGTTCTTGCTTTTGGTGTCTTATCTAACAAACCATTGCCTAGTCAAAGGCCACAAAGATTTATGTCTGTTTCTCTTATAAGAGTTTTAAAGTTTCAGTTCTTCCCATTTAGTTCTTCCCCGGTTTTTGATCCGTTCTGGGTTAATTTTTGTGTGTGGAATGAGGTCCATATCCAAATTCATGCTATTGCATGTGAATATCCTATTCTTGGCCCATTGAATGGTCTTGGTACCCTTGTAGAGAATCAGTTGACTGTAGAGATCTATATATCTGGACTCTCAGTTTTCTTCCACAGGTCTTTATGTCTGTCCTTATGCCAGTGCCACAGTCTTGATTACTGTAGTTTTGTAGTAAGGATGTAGCAAAGTATGAGCCTTTCAGCTGTTCTTTCAAGATTGTTTTGGCTCTTATGAATGCCTTGTATATCCATTATTTTAGGATCAGCTTGTGTATTACTTCAAAAAAAACAATTGGTGGGGCGCCTGGGTGGCTCAGTCGTTGGGCGTCTGCCTTCGGCTCAGGTCATGATCCTGGGGTCCTGGGATCGAGCCCCACGTCGGGCTCCCTGCTCAGTGGGAAGCCTGCTTCTCCCTCTCCCACTCCCCCTGCTTGTGTTCCCTCTCTCGCTGTGTCTCTCTCTGTCAAATAAATAAATAAAATCTTTAAAAAAAAAACAATTGGAATTTTGATAGGATTGCAGTGAATCTAGATAATTTGGAAAGGATTGCTGTTTTAACAGCATTAAGTCTTGGCAGTCCATGAACTTGATAATGTCTTTGTATTTATTTGTATCTTAATTTTTTTCAACAATGTTTTATAGTTTATAGTATATAAATCTTTTACTTTGGCTAACTTTATTCTTAAGTATTTTATTCTTTTTTGATGTTTGAGTAAATGGCATTGCTTTCTTAATTTCATTTTTAGATTATTCTTTGTAATTGATTTTTGTATATTGATCTTTGCTGAACTGGTTTATTAACTGTTCTTTTTTTCCTCTTATTTTTTGAAAGATTGTGTAGAACCTAGTATTAATTCTTTTTTAAAGTTTTGGTAGAACATTGGTGGAAAAAAATCAGCCTGGAGATTTTTTTCCAGGCATTTTTAAATTAAATATTTGACTTCCTTTGTAGTTATGGGCTATTCAAATGATGTAATTTCGTATTAGGTTTGTTTTGGTACTTTGTTTTCATGGAATTGATCTATTTTATCTAGCTTGTCAATTTTGTGTTGTAGAGTTGTTCCTTGTATTTATTTATTTATTTTTGATGTCTGCAGGGTCTATAATGATATCTGTCCCCCGTTTCATTCCTGATACTGGTAATTTGTCTTTTTTTTTTTTTTTTTTCCTTTGTCTTGTTAGAGGATTGTCAGTTTTATGATCTTTTCAGAGAACTGGCTAAGTGGATTTTTCTCTTTTTCTGTAATATTAATGATTTCTACCCTTCTGCTTGTTTGGGGTTTATTTTGTTCTCCTTTTTCTAGGTTCTTAAATTGTGGGAGCTTAGATTTTTGGCTTCAAACTTTTCCCTAATGTATGCATTTAGCGCTATACATTCTCTCTCAGCAGTGCTTTCACTGTGTCCTACAAATTGTTATATTGTATTTTCATTTTCATTCTGTCTTGTATTTTTTTTTAAAGGTTTTATTGATTTATTTGAGACAGAGAGCACAAGAGTGAGAGAGAGCATGAGCAGGGGTTGGGGAGGGAGAGGAAGAAGCAGACTCCCCGCTGAGCAGGGAGCCCTATGTGGAGCTTGGATCAGGACTTGAGCTGAAGGCAGATGCTTAACCAGCTGAGCCACCCAGACACCTCTCTGTTCCTTGTATTTAAAAAAAAATCTCCCATGGGACTTCTCTTTGAATTTGGATTATTTAGAAGTGTCTTGTTTAGTTTCCAAATATTTGGAAATTTATTTATTATCTTGCTGTTACTGCTTCTAGTTTGATTTCATTGTGAAAGAACACACTTGTGTGATTTAAATTCCTTTAAATTTGAAGTTTGCTTTATGGCTTAGGATGTGATATATCTTGGTATATGTTCTGTGGGTACTTGGAAAAAAAATTGTATTCTACGGTTGTTGAATGGAATGAATGTTCTATAGATGTTGATTAGATCCAGTTGGTTGATGGTGGTGTTGCATGTTCCTGTAACCATGCTGTTTTTCTGTCTAGTTGTTCTATCAGTTTTTGTGAGAGGAGTGAGGAAGCTAAAATTGGGTTTTATGTGTTTCTCCATTCGGTTCTGTCCACTTTTGCTTTGCATGTTTTGTAGCTCTGTTATTTGGTGCATACACCTTTAGGATTGCTAAGTATTCTTAAGTGGAGTGACCCTTTTTTATTATGCAACATCCCTCTCTGTCCCTGGTAGTTTTCTTTACTCTAAGTCTACTTTTCTGATACTACTATTGCCAGTGCTGCTTTGTTTTTGTTAATGTTTGCATGATGTCTTTTTGTATTATTTTACTTTAAATTTGCCTATATTGTTATATTTGAAGAGTTTCTTATAGACAGCATAGAGTTGGTTGTGTATTTTAATATACTGTTAATCTCTTATTGCTTTATTTAGACTAAACATTTACATTTAATGTAAGTTGATTTGTTAATTGTGTTATATTTTGCTTTCTCCTTGTTCTGTTTTTCACTTCTTTTTATTACCTTCTAGGTTACTTGAACATATAATAGAATTCTAAATTGACTTATCTACGATTTTTTAAAAATCTTTTTCTTTGTATACCTTTTTCTATGGTTACTCTGGGTGTCAAATTTTAATACAAAAGGGAATAGTTGACTTAATTGCCATTTTTTTGTTGTGGGTGCCTTTGACTTCTTGTCACTCTAGTGATCTTTAAACTACTTGCATTGTGTTCATTACCATTATAGTTTTCAAGAACTTTGTGCCCATATGCCTAGATAAGTTTGATTTTTTTGTATTACACACTGCAATGAGTTGAGGCAAGGAATTCCCACCAAAGATCTTTGTTTAAAATAGTGAATCATCTCTTTCAATATTAGGTAAATATTTGCTGAATGAAATATTTCAGCTCATTTAAGCTAAGTTCATTCATTTCATTTGAGCAGGTGGCCATGTCTTAGTAGGTTTAATGTTAGTTCAGTAATTCGACTTTTCTTTCATTGAGGTACCTTTTTTTTTAAATCCTATGTGGTTTGATAGGATTTTGGTAAAAATATAGAATTGGGTTTTCCTTTTCTACCCTAGAGTACTGTTTGTATTGTTATATTCACTGATATGCTGTAGGTTTAGTGGCTTATAGTTGGTCCTAGAATCAGAGAGTCTGTTACTGTGCATACAAGATTGTATGTTGTTGAAGTATAGCTCCTTTGGGTTTATAGTTTTGTGTTAACTATGGTTATATCGTTTTAGTAATTTGTAAGGTAGTATTTTATATTGTAGTCAGTAAATATGTGTGGAAAGAATATTTATTGAATAGAATACAAATTTTATTTCCAGTATCATGATTTAAAATTAAAATTTTTTCCCCTCAGAGTGACAAAAAGAGTAGTCCCCAGAAAGAAGTTAAATATGAGCCTTTTTCTTTTGCTGATGGTAAGTGGAAAAAAATCATTTCAATTGAGTTACTGTGTGTGTGTGTGTGTGTGTGTGTTTAAGGTAACATTATTGTCTTGGCACTTACCTATTTTTTTTCAGATACCATGCTTTTTTAAAAAGAAAATCAGATTTTTTTTTTATTAAAGGATTTTTAATTTATTCATTAGCTACAGAGAGAGAGAGCATGAGCAGGGGGAGAGGCAGAGGGAGAGGGAGAAGCAGACTCCCTGCTGAGCCAGGAGCCCGATGTGGGGCTCGATCTCAGTACCCTGGGATCATGCCCTGAGCCGAAGGCAGACGCTTAACCATCTGAGCCACCCAGGCGCCCCAGAAAGTCAGATTTTTAAAATACAATTTACCTTAATTAGACACACAGTAAAAATCAGTCTTTTTAGGATGTAGTTCTGTGAATACTATCATACTTCTTAAAATATCTTCCATAAATCCTTAACTTTGAACTGTCATATGTTATTGAATTCTAGTAATAGGCTAACGTATTGCTACCTAGCTGGAGAAATCACGTCTCTTCATTGTCTAATATTGTTGGACTTACATCTTTCTTTAGACATTGGCTCCAATAATTGTGGATACTATGACTTACAAGCAGTGTTAACACATCAGGGAAGGTCTAGCTCTTCAGGCCATTATGTATCATGGGTGAAAAGGAAACAAGGTAAGGATTCTGTTTTGTTTTTTTTTTCCCCAGTAGTTAGTTAATTTAACAGTTTACTTAGTACAGATTTTTTGCACAGTGGTTTTCAAACTTTTTGGTCTCAGAACTCCTTTACATTCTTAATTGTTGAGGTCCACAAAGAGCTTTTGTTTATGAGGATTCTCTTTAATATTTACTATAATAGAAATTAAAACTGAGAAATTAACTCATTGGAAGCTGACAGGAATAAACCCATTACATATCACATAAATAACAAAGATAACAGTATTTTCCAAAACAAAAAAATAGCAAGAAATAGTATTGATTTGTTTTTGTAGGTCTGCTTTGTCTGGCTTAATAGGAGACACCTGTTTCTGCATTCAGTCTCTTGCTTTATCACACATCCTATGACTTCTGGAAAATTCCAAAGCACACTTGAGAGAATGAGGGAAAAAGGCAAATAATACTTTAGTAGTGATATAAAAAAATTGTGACCTTCATAGTACCCCTGAAATGGTCTTGAAACCTGAGTAGCCCCTGGACCACACTTTGAAAATTGTTAGTATGGCAGATGGAATACTGCTGTGCATAAAAGTACTCAGTACCTTTTTTGAAATGGAACTGAGAAAACATGTATGATATTAATTTCATTTTCTTCTCTTGTTCTTTAGATGAATGGATTAAGTTTGATGATGATAAAGTCAGCATCGTGACACCAGAGGATATCTTACGGCTTTCTGGTGGTGGAGACTGGCACATAGCATATGTTTTACTCTATGGGCCTCGCAGAGTTGAAATAATGGAAGAGGAAAGTGAACAGTAATCTTCATTTTAGCTATTTATGTTTAGGTGTGAAATAAATGTTACTTGTTGATCATTTCTATAATCCAGAGCTGTAGAGGAAGACATGTAGGTGGTTTTATGTGTTTCCCCTCTCATGTGGAACAAAAGAGGGTGAAGCAGACCACTCTGTGGATCAACCTAAAAATTACAGAAAAAAAAATTGCCTTTGGACTGTGTGGTTGCAGGAAGACATTTTTAAAAAGCTTATTTCTTGCATTAATTTTTAAAAATTCTGATTTGAAATGCCTTTCAGCCATTACCTTCCATGATAAATTTTTTCTCCCTGCCTTTTTAAGCCCAGGATTCAGCAATCAGATGTTTATTGCACACCTATTACTCTTTTTGTTGTTGTTGTTCTTGCATGGTTCAAACCACCGGTGATTCATAGCTGCCCATCCTTTGCCTTATCTAACAAAAATTTTGCCAGGAAGGTGGAAAGGAAGGAAGTGTTGCTCTCATTGTGTTACTCAGTGCTGCTGCCCACATCCCATGGAAACATGGGTACAATCAAGTATTTGTCCAGCCTGACTGTTGCTGGCTTTTCATGACTTTAAAATAAATTGTGATCAGTAATAGTACATTTGATTATACATTCATTATTGTGTCTCTCTGATGTACTATGGTTTGTATGTTTAACTTTGCAATGGTTTTGTAGTAATCAACCTTAAAAAGTTGACAAGCTCTCGTTGCTTATTTTTAGAAAATGAGGATATTTAATAAAAAAAAAAAAAAGAGGGACTAACAGCTTCTAACCTCAAGTCTTTTGTCTACTGAGTGTTGGAGCTTGGGTTAAGTTTAGGTATATTTAATATCACGCCTTGCTGCAGGTTGTTAGTTTTACTCTGCTGTTAAGCATCCATTTAAAAATGTTATCTCTTCTGCCTTCTCACATTATGTTCTGTTTAAAAGAAATACAAAGTTGTAAAAGTAACAGAGTTCTTTGGATGCTGAATGCAACGATGTTTATTGGTCTGTCTTTTCTTTGGCTCAGTTGTTTTTACTCGTCTGTTCCCAAAATCTTAATGTGTATCTCAGAATTGAATAATAGCAATGATTTTTAAAGTGATGGTAAAAGTACCAAGAGTAAGTGGTGTTTCAGTATGGTAGGTTTCTTACATTTTAATACATTCTAATTCCTCATCTTTGTTTCAAGAGCCTTGATTACTAGATAGAGGATAGGAAATTAGCTCATTTGTCTCTGATTTTGAGTTAGGTATATAAAATGAAGCTTGGGGGATTATCATGAAATCTCCTCTCTTACGCTGTTTTCATGCTCTGCAGAGCATAGCACTGGTAACTATTAAATTCCTAGAGAATAATGGCCAATTTCCTCTCAGCTTTGAACAATGTGATAAAACCTGAGAACCCTAGGAGATAAAATAAGCATTTCAGGGAAACTTATTTGTAAATAGCTTCTTCAGCTAAGTGGTGATTACTGGCAATCATTATTCCCTTTGCCTTGGCGGAGGGTGCAGAATAGAATGGGGAAGAGGAGACCATAAGAAGTGTAATGATTCTTAGATAGTGCTATGATGCTTGTGACTCTGCATTTTTTATTCACAGTCTGTCTTGGTCTGAACAATTTTGAGGACATAAATTTAGCGATTAGAATTCTGATTTCTGACTTGCAGGATGCTGTAGCTAGTAGATGAGGTAGGTTTAGAACAAAGTATATGTCTTGTATGGAGTTAAGATTTTTAATATTGTAATTCCTTAATTGTTTCAAAAATGGATTTCATTTTATTTGATCCAAATAAGCATTAGTCCAAAGATTTTTTTTTTTTTTAAGAAATTGGACTTACACCAGTGTTTTAAACTAGTAAGGCTATTTTAGAGTTCAGCCTTGCATATAAGGTCTTTGAGAAGGGAGAGTGGTCAAGAAAATTTCTTGATTCCTGAGTGTGCCTTATATGCTGTGCCATGAGCACGGAGGCCCTTTTGATATTAGAGCTGTGCTGTATCACTGTTGGACTAGCCAGTGAAGTTAAGTCCAAGCAAGAACATTTATGGTGTAATATGCACTTAGGTGTATTATGCACTTAGTAGCCTTTCAGGATACAAAACATACAATGATAACCTAATGTTAGAGCCCTACAGGGTAATTATGCTTATGTGGGAATGGGAAAAGTAGATGGTACTGTCCCCAGCCATTATTACATAGTGCTTTGCTGTTTGTAGATAGCTTTCACCTACATATCTCAAACTTCACATCAATCCTGGAAGTATGCATCCCTATTTTAAGGACTTAGGATTTTAGACTTCACCCTGTTTTTTTTCAAGTTGGGGGCTGGCAAACATTTTCTGTAATGGGTGGGGTGGATAGTACATATTTTAAGTTTCGCAGGCCACAGTCTTTGTCACAGCTACTGAACGCTGTTGTTGTAGCATGAAAGGAGCCATAGATGATACTTAAATCAGCAGAACTGTGTGCTGATAAAATTTTACTTGTAAAAGCAGGTGGGAAATGGGCCAGTGTTTGCTGATCCTCTGCTTTAAGGCATAAATGAGTAAGACTAGAGCAGTCATATGGTTTCAGAAAGTCATTGTGGGATTTTCAGAACAGCAAGTTAAATTTTCTAACTACTAATGGCATGTGGGAAACGAAGTTGGCATAGTGTATCTTAGGAAACACCATGCTCCCTAAATATTGCTTACTGACTTCATTATAAATATTTTAACAAAAAATATGTGATCTTGAGGTCGCTTTATTTTGTCCATTTTCTCAACGTACTCCCTTCGCCTGAAACCCTGAGGTCAGTTATCAAGAGCCAATACGCCTTCTGTTGTTCGTGGAGCACCAGCCAACTGTACAACAACTGTTATAAAAATGTTTATTGTTTACCAAAACCATTGGACCTCTTATCAAATGCTGCTTGGTAACAAAATCTTATCACAATTTTAATAAAAAAAAGAAAAGAAAGAAAGAAGCTAACTATTTGTCTCATTGTCATTAGTTAGACTTTCTGCAAGGTCACTTAATCCGGACTTATTCAGTGCGTTCATCAGATTCTCAGGTGTTGCATGTACTCCCTCTTGATCTTGCCAGGCGACCAGTAGCTGCTTAGCTCTCATCTTCATGTCTTCGCTATCACACTCAATTTGTCTAATTTCCGAGTCTTTCATTTCCAAGTAGGGAGCCAGGATCTTCCATTGCTCGCCCAGTTTACTGGCAAACACCTCTATTTGTTCCCCTGTTACAGGTTTGTCTCGGCGAACATCAGGGCCTAGGAAACACAGGAGATGTAAATTATGTACAAAGCCTGAGGACATGTACAATTCAAAATATACAACAGAATGGGGAAGATACGGGGCCACTGAAATATTAATCACCTTTCATAAGCTTTATTTTAAAACAATTCCTTTCTATATTTTTCATGGGGTGAATATTGTTCTTATAGTCATGATCACTAGGTATCAGTACTTTTAAAACTAAAGCTGCTGCCTCTATTGTAATTATGAAGGTCTCCCCCGAAAGCAGCTGCTCTCTTCTAACCCGCCCCCCCGCCATTAACAAACAGGTGAGTCACCTTCAAATCTAAGTACCTTCCTTCCCATCACTTCCAAATTCTATTGCATAAAGTGTAATATTTTAAAAGTTATCAAGCAATGTTTAAAATCCCTCACTATAAGAAACAGCTGAGATAAATGGTAGAGGTTGAGAAGTAGATCAAATAACGTACCTCTCAACAAAGAACCCCAATCTTTTCCAATTTTGTAAAATAGCCAAGAAAATTCAATTCTTACTTTCATTTTCCTTCAGTAAAGCATCATTATCTTCCTCATCTTCATCCTCACCTGTTTTTATCTCTTCAGAAGGAGGCTAAAATGAGGAAGAAGAATGTTTAAGAGAATGCCAACTTGTAAAATAACTTGGGGATACTTTTGGTTTAGGTTATGAGTGGTTGAGATTCCACATTCCAGGGCCCAGAACTTGATCCTTGAGCGTGTTAAATGTGAATGTCAGGTAAGGATCACAAATGGCATGGTGTTAACGTGGAGAAGGAGTGGACGGGAAAGACTCCCCTTCCCCCACACATGGGAAGAAGGCAGAGCCAGTAAAGCGTACGGTAAGATGATTTACAAATATCTAGCATATAGTAATGATGGGCTGGAGAAAACCAGGGGAGGATTTGGGTTCTTAAAAAATTTTTTTAGTAATTTTACGGTATAGTTATTACCATATTGTAGTAATACAATGAGAAAATTGTATTGGAAAAGAGAACAGAGTAGAAAGGTAGGTCTAGGTACCTACTGCTACCCATTATAGATCCTGTTTGATAAAACACAATACATTGGCAAATAGGAAAAATTCATGTCTGAGTTTACAGGTGAGATAATTGTTTAACCAAAATACTGTGGGCTTTAAAATTAAATTACATGCTTTATAAAAAATTTATCAACTTAATGTACTTCCTGTAAATGTACACTCAAATGCATTTTTCCTTATTCTTAAACATGGAGATTTGTGGATTATTTTTTCCACACAATAAACTGTAAATTCAGCTTCTTAGTGATAGTAGTTTTAATAAGATAACAAAGAATATGAAAACGTTGATCTACATTACTTACTGGTAATTCCTTTGCTAGCTTTATTACCATGTTTTCGAGATATTCTGGCAAACTTTTAAATTGCTGGTTGGTTGGCTGGAAGAAGTGAGGGCTTCTCCGTGCTAACAGTCTCAGGGCTCTCCAACCATAATTTGAATTGTTCACAGCCCTAGGAAAAGAAATGTCAGTCTTGTCATTTACGGTTTTTTATTTCTATATGCCTTCCAGTTAGCGTATAGAGTGTCACATGGTAAATTAACATTAAGTAGCTGAAGGCACCATTCTTTTCATTCTGATCTTATTCCTAAAGAACCTCTGAGTGTGCAGTACACTTACAAATGAACACTAGAAATGGGCAGAATCTGATGAGGCAGGTTCATATGCAGCAAACACCTGAAAAGTTTAATACCCGTTTTACTTAATTTAAAAAGTCAATCAGTACGTGTATAGTGATAACTAGGTGTTCTGTGTGCAGGACAGTCATCATCTACGTCTTTAGAAGAAAAACGAATAGGCTTTTACTATAGTCAGTGAGCTGACGCCCATAAAGACAATGCCACCTGCAGGTGTGAATTCCAGAATGTAAGTTTTATCAGCACTGAGTTTTGACCATATTCAATCAATACATCATTCTCCATTTATATAAGCCTCTCATTTTAGTTCGCTTAATACCAAACTCAATGAATAAAAATGGTTCCAAAACTAAAAGGGAAACATCGAATAGCCACCACAGTGAGCAGGGATAGATACAAAGTGATACAGAGCACAGCACCGGGCGCTACACAGTAAGGTGAGAAATGCAAACCTCACGAATTCTAAAGATAATGTTCCAGAACCAGCCAAGCTGGAGACGAATCCAGAGCACAAATTTACTCTGTGAATTTTTGCAAGTCATTTGGAAGATCCCCCTAAGTTCTTAAGGGTAGCAACCTGGTTTATTTAGTCCTCCTCTTGAAATGAGCCTCTACTTTTAGCAAGTGCAAAACTACTCCTACACGGGTCTTGCCAACTTAATGTCATGGTACAAGGCTTTGCCTGATCAGTTAACCAGCCTACCTCTCTTGACACATTTCCATTTAAGCAGTTTCAATCTTTTTTTTTTTTTCTTAAAGATGTTATTTATTTATTCATGACAGAGAGAGAGAGAGTGAGAGAGAGGCAGAGGGAGAAGCAGGCTCTCAAGGAGCAGGGAGCCTGATGCGGGACTCGATCCCAAGACTCTGGGATCATGACCTGAGCTGAAGGCAGACGCTCAACCATCTGAACCACCCAGGTGCCCCAGTTTCAATCTTTTAAGCATTTTCAAAATTCTCCACCAGTTACACATACAAACTTTCTTACTCTCCAGAAATCCATACCATTCAGGTTCTTAAAGCAAGGTTCGCGGAGAACTCTCATTCATTCATTCAACAAATACTTGGTGAGCTGGGCACTCAGACCTTAGAGGTACCCTGAACACTCGAGACACTACAATCTTGCAGTTAAGAGCAGGGCCCTGAGGCCGGAGTGATTTCCTGGCTCTGGCATTTACTAGATGAGAACTTCAATACATGATTCACCCTCTCTCCTCACTTTAACTGTAAAAGGGAGATAAGGGCAGTTTCTACCTTAAAGGTATAGATGGTAAGTACTTAGGGAGGCCCTGACAGTGAATGTGGAAATGTGTTGGCAAACATCATTACTATGGATAAACACCAGGTATAAGAATTTCACACAGTGGTAAGGATAAGAAGAACATGAGAAATGGGAATTTCAGATAGGGAGGGGCTTCTGGGCCAGGGAAAACTGCCCTGAGACAGTATCTGAGAGGAGAACTGAAGTGAGCCCACACCACAGGAGTAGCTTGGGGAGAAGTGGAAAGACCTTTGAGTTGAAGAACAGAAACCTGGCTGGTGTAGTTAGAGCAGAAAGAAAATGAACAAAGAGGAGAAGTGATCGAAAGAGTAGGCAGCAGCCAGACGGGTCTTTTAGGCCCTGGTAAGGAGTTTGGATTTCATCCTAATTTTACCAGGCAGTCACTGGAAGAGTTAAAGCAGGAGATCAGACTTGTGAGTTTAAAGATCACAATTCACATGCTGGAGAACTGACCGGAGCATCATTAGTTAAGAGATCACAGTAACTAACTCATAACTAGTCACAAGGTCACACGAGTCAGAGCACTCTATTTTCTGTGTGCTAACTACATGTCCTGTGTGGCTCAAAGTGAATCCTCTTATTTAATCCTCAGAATAACCCCATGAAATGGGTATTATACTATTTAGCAATGAGAAAACAAGCAGAAAGGGGTTACAGTAGCCCTAGAAGCCTAGCCAGTGAGTGACAGAGTGTCCTGGGATTGGAACCCAGGGAGTCTGACAAGAGGGTCCTTGCCCTTAAATGATGACACCAAACTGCCTATTTAAAACCATGGGGCTGGGACGCCTGGGTGGCTCAGTCGTTAAGCGTCTACCTTCGGCTTAGGTCGTGATCCCTGGGTCCTGGGATCGAGTCCCACATCGGGCTCCCTGCTCAGCGGGGAGTCTGCTTCTCCCTCTTCCCCTGCCTGCAGCTCCCTCTGCTTGTGCTCTCTCTCCGACAAATAAATAATCTTTAAAAAAATTTTAAAAAATAAAACCATGGGGAGGGGGTGCATGGGTAGCTCAGTCAGTTGAGTGCTTGGCTCTTGGTTTCAGCTCAGGTCATGATCTCAGGGTTGTGAGATCGAGCCTAACGTAGGGCTCCACCCTCAGTGTGGAGTCTGCTTGACATTTTCTCCCTCAGCCCCTCCCCGCTTGCACACTTTCTCTCTAAAATAAGTAAATAAAATCTTTAAAAAAAAAAATTTTTAAAACCACAGGGCTGGGGTGCCTGGGTGGCTCAGTTGGTTAAGCAGCTGCCTTCGGCTCCGGTCATGATCCCGGGGTCCTGGAATCGAGCCCTGCATCGGGCTCCCTGCTCAGCAGAGAGCCTGCTTCTCCCTTTCCCTCTGCCTGACACTCTGCCTACTTGTGCTCTCTATCTCTCTGTCAAATAAATAAATAAATAAATCTTTAAAATAAAAAATAGTAATAATAAAAAAAAACAAAACCACAGGGCTGTGTGGTGTTGCCTAGAAGATTAGATAAAAAAGCTGAGACTGAGTCCTGAGGTTACTCCAAGATCTGGGAGCCAGCTGAGATGCAGTGAGGCAGGAGTGTAGTTTAATGGATGTCAAGAGAAGAACACATTATCTAAGGAAGGAGAGACAAGTGGTGAATGCTGCTGGGAGGTCGGAAAAAGATGCCATGACCTTGACGAGCGCTATTTCAGTGGAGGGACAGGGAGACCACCCAGTGGCAGTGAGCTGACAAGAATGGGAGGTGAGGAAATGAAGGCAATGGTTATCAACACGTCTCGGGAGACACTGATTTGAAGGGGAAAAGAGGATTGTTGGGAGGGAGGTGGATGCCCAAGGCATTGTTCTTATTTTTTGAAACAAGTGTGATTCTACTTCGTGTTTGTCAGTGGGCATGGTCATTGAAATCAGGAATGTGCACTAATGTGAACTTGGTACATAAATTCACCTAAGAGGAAAAGTACTACCCTATCAGTGGTCTCCCTTAGTGTTCTAATGTACATACAATTCCTAAAAAAAATACTGTAGAATGTTAGCTCATAAGAAACACTACTTACTTGTATTCATTTTCAACCATGTTTTCAGGGTCTGCCTGTTCAATGGCTTCCTCAAAGAATTCCTCCAAAGTTGGCATGTATTCCCTGGGTGTTAAAAAACAACTAGTAAGGACCATGTGTGTTCATTCTTAATAAAATACTCCTAAAACAGTGGCACTGAAAGATTCTAATTATGACCTACACTTGAGTTAGTTACATTACTTAGGAACCCAGATTTTTAAGGGGGTAAATGACTCAAAACTGACTTCTCCAAGAGGACCACGGAGGAGCAGTGCGGTGCTACATCGTGTCATATACTATACTCCATGTAACCTACCAGTCACTGGGCTCCACACTGTAATGTTACTGGTCACAGGGACAGCCAGGGATTTCACAGCATTTGAACTTCCCCAGCAAGGAAGAAAATGTCACATCCAGTGCCCACATCCAAGAATGTTTTTTCCTTAAGCCAGCATTAATAAAACCCACACTAATAACCAGACCATACTGAGATTTAAAGAGTTTAACTGTGAGCTTATTTTATGTCACTCCCATGACAGCATGTTGGTTTTTAATTGGATCTTTCTGGAATTTGGTTTTAGAAATAAGATTTTGATAGTCAAGCAAATAAACAAGATCCAAGGGTCTGATTAGAAGACATCTTTGACTAAAACTAGAAAAATGGGCTCTGTAAGAAAAACTCAAGCACCCAATCTTACAACTTTCAGTACAATAACACACTCTCTAACTGGTAAACATAAGAGGGCTGGAAGGTTTCCTTGGAGTTTACCACCACTCTTTTATATATCACGCTAGACAAAGCAAGGTGACACTAAAATCCCAACCAGACTATCATTGATCAGTGTTTGGAACCATTTATTAGTTTAAAAATTACTGTACAGTTGACCCTGGAACACCACTGAGCTTGAACTGTGTGGGTCCACTTATTTGTGGATTTTTTTTGATTCAGTACTCTAAATGTATTTTTTTATTATTTTAATATTTTTTTCTCCAGCTTCCTTTAGTAAGAATACAGTATATAATACATATACAAAATGTGTTCATATTTTGTGTATCAATCATATCACCTGTTTATGCAGTAAGGCTTCCAATCCACAGTAGGCTGTTGGGGAATCAAAAGTTACTTGTGCATTTTTTACCGTGTGGGGGTTGACACCCCAAACCCTGTGTTGTTCAAGGGTCAACTATACTGTGATCAATCAAGACTAATAACGGAATGAACCTCCCAGGCACTGCCTTATCTGACTTTTACAAACACTACAAATACAACTCTCCTCTCTGATCTCGTTCTCTTTCCCCAGAGGTGGCCACTCTTCAGAAATTGGTATTTATCACTCCTGTTTTTTTTTTAACTGAGCGTATACTGTTTTGAAGCTTTTCAAACTTTATAATGGAACCATGCTTGTACCCTTCTACAACCCTGATTTTTCTGAAGTACGCCTGTCTGATACAGTAGTTCTCAACCTCATTCTGGGGCCCAATGTACAGCGGTCCGCTACGTGAACGTGTCACACATTATCCATTCTTCCACTGATATTTAGGTAGTTTCCCCAGTTTTGCTGTGACACTGCTAAACGAACATTCTTGCACCATCTCATTGTGCAGGTGAGCTAGTTTCTCTAGACATTATGGTGTTCAAACTTCCCCTACAACTCACAGTAAGGAATTAATTTTATATTACAACCCAAAACACACACATAAATGCGAGCATGTGTATCATACGTAAGTAAAGCTAACGTTTCACAAAAATATATTCTCTATTTCCCTAAAAAAAAATGCTGGTGGCAACTAATAAACTGACTTCACAAATCACCGGTTCTCAACCTGAAGTTTTAAAGGAATTACTTTAAAGATCAACCAACCCAGGACTGGAATTGTTAGGACGTAGCGTATGCACACCTTTAACTTTCAGTTACTGCCAAATTGTTTTCCAAAGTGGCTGTACCAATTTAGGCTCCCACCAGCATCACTGGCAAATTATTTATTTATTAAAATTAACATATAATGTATTTGTTTCAGGGGTACAGGTCTGTGATTCAACAGTCTTACACAATTCACAGCGCTCACCATAGCACATACCCTCCCCAGCCACCCATCCCTCCCACCCCCCACCCTCCAGCAACCCTCAGTTTGTTTCCTGAGATTAAGAGTCTCTTATGGTTTGTCTCCCTATCTGGTCTCCTCTTGTTTCATTTTTCCCTCCCTTCCCCTATGATCCTCTGTCTTGTTATTCAAATTCCTCATATCAGTGAGATCATATGATACTTGTCTTTCTCTGATTGACTTACTTCGCTTAGCGTAATACCCTCTAGTTCCATCCATGTCGTTGCAAATGGCAAGATTTCATTTTTTTTGATGGCTGCATAATATTCCATTGTATATACACACCACATCTTCTTTATCCATTCATCTGTTGATGGACATCTAGGCTCTTTCCATAGTTGGCTATTGTGGACATTGCTGCTATAAACATCGGGGTGCATGTACCCCTTCGGATCACTACATTTCTATCTTTGGGGTAAATACCCAGTAGTGCAATTGCTGGGTTGTAGGGTAGCTCTATTTTCAACTTTTTGAGGAACCTCCATACTGTTTTCTAGAGTGGCTGCACCAGCTTGCATTCCCACCAACAGTGTAGGAGGGTTCCCCTTTCTCCGCATCCCCGCCAACATCTGTCATTTCCTGACTTAATTTTAGCCATTCTGATTGGTGTGAGGTGGTATCTCATTGAGATTTTGATTTGTATTTCTCTGATGCCAAGCGATGTTGAGCACTTTTTCATGTGTCTGTTGGCCATTTGGCTTTCTTCTTCTTTTTTTTTTTTATTTTTTATTTATTTATTTATTTATTTAATCTTATGTTAATCCCCATACATTACATCATTAGTTCTAGATGAAGTGTTCCATGATTCATTGTTCATGCACAACACCCAGTGCTCCATGCAGAACGTGCCCTCCTCAATACCCACCACCAGGCCAACCCATCCTCCCACCCCCCTCCCCATTTGGCTTTCTTCTTTGCAGAAATATCTGTTCATGTCTTCTGCCCATTTCTTGATTGGATTCTTTGTTCTCTGGGTGTTGAGTGTGATTAAGTTCTTTATAGATTTTGGATACTAGCCCTTTATCTGGTGTGTCATTTGCAAATATCTTCTCCCATTCTGTCGGTTGTCTTTTGGTTTTGTTGACTGTTTCCTTTGCCGTGCAAAAGCTTTTAATCTTGATGAAGTCCCAATAGTTCATTTTTGCCCTTGTTTCCCTTGCTTCTGGCAAATTATTCTTATCCACAATTCATACAAAATTCCGATGCATTTAAATTATTGAATTTCTTGGCTATGAAGCTGCCTGCTTTGGTTTTTAATCTGATGTTTCTAGTTACTACTGATGTTGAGTATTTTTTCTTAGGTTTATTAAGATTTCCACTTTTGAAATTGTTATTGGGTTGACTTCTCAGATTTGGCAGGGATCTAAATGTACTAATTGGCTTGCTAGCATTTTAAAAATTTTCTTAGTCTTTAAAAAAAATTGTTTGGTTTTGCTGATGCTATTATTTGTTTGCTATCTTACCGATTTCCAGTTTTATTTTACTTTCTTTGTAATTTACTTGGTTCAGCGTTAGATTTTTTTTCCAAGTTTTTATTAAATTCTAGTTAATTTACAGTGAAATATTAGTTTCAGGTGTAGAATCTAGTGATTCATTACTTCCATACATCATCCTGTGCTCATTACAAGTGCCCTCCTTAATCCGCATCACCCATTTAATCCATCCTGTTCTCTCTAGTTAAGTGTCTGTTTTGTCTCTCTAGTTAAGTGTCTGTTTTGTCTCTCTTTTTGTTTCCCCCGCCGTGTTCATCTGTTTTGTTTCTTAAATTCTACATGAGTGAAATCATATGGTATTTGTCTTTCTCTGACTTATTTTGCTCAGCATAATACATACTAGCTCCATCCATGTTGTTGCAAATGGCAGGATTTCATTTTTTATGGCCAAATAATATTCAATTACAGACACACAAACATCTTCTTTATCCATCAGCTGATAGGTATTTAGACTCTTTCCATAATTCGGCTATTGTAGATAATGCTGCTATAAACATTGGGGTTCGGTGCTGGATTCTTAGTTTTAAGTTAACTCTTAAGGTTATAGACATTTAAGGTCGTAAGTTTTCTATTTCTCAAAAGTTTAAACCTATAATACATTTATCAGTTAATTCTGTTTTCTAATTTACGATTTTTTTTTTTTTAAGATTTTATTTATTTGAGAGAGAGTTAGAGTGAGAGAGCACAAGCAAGGGGAGCTCCAGGCAGAGGAAGAGGGAGAAGCAGGCTCCCCACTGAGCAAGGAGCCTGATGTGGGGCTTGATCCCAGAACCCAAGGATCACGACTTGAGCCGAAGACAGCCACTTAACCGACTGAGCCACCCAGGCGCCCCTTTTTCATTAATTCTTATTTCCACCTGTGTCTAGTCTGCTATTTAACATGCCTATTAAATCTTATAATTCGATGACTATATTTTCTTATTGCTAGAATTATTACTTGTTTTTTCAAATTTGCTTGGTCCTGAGAGTGTCCTCTTCCTTTTAAGTTTCAATTCCTTCTTTTATGTCTTTAACTATCTTAAATATACTTATTTTAAACTGTATTTACTTGATGGTTTTATTATCTGAAGTGGTTGTTTAACTTCTGTTGTTTGTTTTGTTTGTTCTATCCGCTGATTCTTTCTCATGGTATATTGTTTTCTTGAATGTTTTGAGTTCAGATGGTTGAGTATCTTCAGACTTTTATCTACAGGATCCTTGTGTGGCTTAGGTTGAAGGTGTGACCTCCAGAAAGCTTTGTATCATCAGACTGAGACATCTAAATTCACCCCCTTAGTGAAGGGGTTCCTTTACACTGCTGGTAGTATAAATTTAAGCTGGAGGACTCCATGACAGCAGACTTGTGGTTATAATTTCTCTGGGTGTACTTTTCTCCTTTTCACCCACACCCCAGTTAGAAATGGACAAGCTTGTTTCCTGGGCCAGTGAGCAAGTCCTTCCTCCCCAGTCTGCTCTTCTTTTTATGTTTAGTGCAGTGCTTCAAGGGCCTCAGCTTTATTCAAAGGAAACTCAGTTACAAATCTGTACAGGCCCAAGGCCTTACCTTCTGTCCTTTTGTGGCTCTTAAAACCTAAGTTCCCTGGTTCCCCAAAGTGGGAAGCATCTGCAAGCTTCCCAGCTAGAAGCAACCATATTGGCTCATACTTTGGTTTTCAGTTCCCTCTTCTTTTGTGAATTCGTATTTTTCTGTGATTTCTAAAATTATTTTATCAACATTTCTAGGTGTTTCATGGTGGGAAGCCATATTCTGCTATGCCAAAGTCAACCATAATAAATTAATTTCATTCACTTAACATTTGAGAAAAGCAGTACCTCACGTGAAACATTTTAAACTTGCCTTGTCTCTGATTTGCAAGCTTCCATATTATCAGGACAGAGATTCCAAAGCCTTGTTAACTCCTCACTACAAAACAGACACATAAATAAATACATTTTTAATGGACATCATCCTCCTATGCCTTAAAGTTGTAAAAACACTTAAATAGTGAATTTTTAGGTGGTGACGGAATAAGTTTTAATTTTCTACATTAATTTTCGGTATTCGGCAAATTTTCTATATAAGCATATATTTAATGATACAATCTTTTTTTTTAAACATTCAAGCAGTATAGAGCAATGAATAATTAACTGGAAGGTAACAGAAACTGAAGGATCATGGTACCTTGCGGCAACTGGAAGTGAGCTGGATCAATCTAACAGCGATTGTATTGTCTATGACATGGAAAAAATGGCACAGCCTAGAGCCATGGATTTGGGAAGCAGGAGACAAAATGGAAGCTTATCTATCTGCATGAATCCATGTAATGGGCCCTTGAGACTGAGAGCGTGTGGTCTGTTTTAATCATCTATGTATGTACCAAACACCAAAAACACGAAAAACACATAAACTGGGAAGCTCTTACAGTAACATCTTCAAACTATTAAAAAAACGAATACCATCCCACATATGGATACAGGTTAACCTACTTTCCCATTAGAATTTTTTTGTTGGGTCCTTTCCCTAGGAAGTCCTCTGGTGCTGTTCTCTTGCGAGCCACTCTTGTCGGCTTGGTGTCTGATGTTCTGTGGTGAATGAAACAAACTGGAATTACAAATGGATAGCACACATAAAAAGTGTTTAATGTAAAAGAAAATTCAATTATTGTTTTCTTCCTATAAAAATATAAAAGCTTCCTATTATTATAGAACACTCATCAGATAGAAGACAAAAATGCCACACCAGGGAACAAATTACAAGGAGTGGGTATATAGCATTTTTTTCAATAATAATAGATTAATTTGTTCTGGGAACTTAATGATAAGAAATCTGAGGTGAAAGATTCAACTAGAAGTAAATCAAAATGGTTGTATGCTTACAGAGTTCAACCTATACTTTATAATATGAAATATATACATCTATACATGTATACATCATGTAAAATAATCACGTCAAACTGTATTTTGAAATGCCTTTCTTCTCATAGTGCTTGGGTATATATTTACCTTTCTTTCACAAAACTTGGGCAGCCTTCATTTTTCCATGAGTTCCAGTTTTCTTCAGTGTTTAATATATGCTGGGAAAAACAAAGAAATTACATTTGTATAATGAAGGCCTTTGAAATTCTATTTGGTGCTAAGAAGACTATGTAAATATAAAACACATACCTCTACCATCTTTGAAAATCTTTCTCCATCGGGGGGGTTTTCAGATAGTAGCTGTGATTAGAAAGAATATACTAAGCTTTCAACAACTTTCTGCATCATAGGAGTGGTTTGTAGGCAGAGGACCAAGAAGTGTTCGTGGTCTTGTACCTGAGCTTAACTTTATCCTTATTTTCCTATTTGGGGCTGAAACAAAGAAAATTCTAAATTTCCATTTTGTTCAATCATGGGTTTGTTGCATGTTGAACTTACTTGATAAACTGATTTTGTAGTATCTTCAATCCAGAGTGATTGCTCATCAGTTAAAACATAGTTTGAACTAGGGAACAAAGCAATAAAAGCATGCTTGAGTTACAGCAATGTATATTCAATTTTAAGGCTTATATACTGTCTTATAAAAACCCAAGGCATGTAACAGATAAGTTAACCATACCAGTGTCAAATAGTGTCAAAAATTACCAAGAGAAGAACAATCACAAATGAGAGGATTATAAGAGAAAATTCTTGCACTTCATTTAGGATGGTTAGAATTGAAGACACAAAGGTGTATGAGGGAGGATGACACTCTATCAGTCTGATTAACTATGAACAGAGCAATGAGTGTTTCCTAAAATAAGAAATTTAATGTGGAATGAAAACCTCTGAGACAATATTAACATATTCCTCTCCATGTTGCACATTCAGATATATTCCTTTAAAAGGCAATCAAAACACAATGAATAAAAAACTCCCAAACCTTAGAGAAAGCTGAAGGCAGACCCAAAGTGTTAATCGGTGCTTTTAATTCAGCTCTCACTAGCACTGGATGCTTTATAGCCAGCCAATAAATAGCGATAGACTACTGTGTCAGGATCTGAGCACTTTAGACGCATTATTCATTTAATTCTCAGAATGACGATGTGTGCTTATTAAACAGAGACCATACAGATAAAGCTTGAATTCAAACCTAGGTCTGGCTCCAAAGTCCTTGATCTTCCTACCATGCTATATTAAAACTCAACAACAGAGGATAAGAAATAACATTTTGAGTACTTGCTATGTGTCATCTTAAAAATCAAAAGTCTGAAAGAGCTAAATTGCACTCTGAGTCATGAAAGTGGGATTCAAAGCCAGCAGGTAGTAAAGGCACGTTTTTCACACAACTAATAAATGCAACATTGCTTTGCAAACTTAAAAATGCCTTTGAGTAATGGTGAGCTTGACTTCAGTTATGGGTAGGAGAAGAGGACGTGGTCTCTGCTACAGGTGGAGATACTCAGGAAGTAGAGGAACTGTTTAGGTTTTCTGAAACCCCAAAGAAACTGGAACTCCTCTGTTCTTCAAAGATTTACTTCACTTTTTTGAGTTGTAACATCCTAGACCACTCCACACCTCGTGAGAGAAGTCTTACGGGCTTAGTCTTCCAATCAGGTTTGGAGAAAGCCTGGGTGAGGTGAGGGGGAATGGTGGAAGTCTGGAACAGAGATGCACCCACACAACTGAGGACCCCAGGAACCCCAGTGCTCAGCAGGAGAGACTTCCACTGACAGTAGATATAGTCAACACCTTCTCTCTGAAATAAATATCCTAACATCTAGAATCTCTAACAAAAGCCCCTGATTCTCTAGTGTTGCTGCAAAAGGAAGGTTTCAGGGATGTGACCCTCATGCATTAAATGTGTCTGATACATAAGAAAAATATATCAGTACGTGAGTCCTCTTTTAGAGACGACTGTTTAGAAATCATTTACTACCCATATTAACTTACCTTTTGAATTTGACCTGCCCCTTAAGATACTGGAATAAAATGAGATACTGCAACAAGATGTGTCGACGAAAGTTACTGTCACTCAGTTGTAAATCCATCAACTAGTTGAAAAACAAGCACACACACACAAACACAAAACACATTAAATTCAAGTTTTGCCTAAAGGTACAGGTTATGCTAGTACAGAAAGGAAAGATTTTAATTAAAAAAAAAACAACAACAACATTCAGAGGGCTCACTGAGTATGAGGCATTATACTGCACAGGCCCTAGCACACTGGAGCAAAGGCTTCAGATTTTTTAACCATTTTATCCCATGAGAAATTTAAATGGTGGTAGACAGCACTATTACATCTGTGGTCCTGAAGTCAAGACAAAGCAAAGCAGAAATATGCATAGGTAAAAGTATGGCTGCCACTTGCTCACATAGAAAGAAACAATGGCCAGAGAGCGGTCCATATACAGGTAACACCAAGGATGCTGCTCATTTCTGTAGCCCTACGAAGTGCCTGCAACAGAGCTGGTGCTCGGTAATAAATAAGGAATTACAAGTGAAAAATCATCTGTGAGTTAAGTGGACCATTTCCTTATATTTTAGAGAAAACTATCATATTTGTATTATCACAGAATCTGCATTAGAAAGGACATGAAGGTCCCTTATGAGGAAGTTCTTCAACAACTGTGCCCCGAGGTGATCAGTAAGAATGGCCTCCAGCGTGAAGGCTGATTATGTCCCCAGAGCACTGCGGAACACTGAAGTCCACATCCACAAACATGTGCTGCTTCGGCCTTCCAGAGCTAAAGCAACAATGGCAAGCTGCCTGATTTTAAATGGATGAGCAACCCGTACGACGCCCGAAAACCCTAGGAATGGAATCCAGTTGAAGGTCCCGAGTTCCTTTGGCTATGTTTCCATTACCCAACATTCACTAGCCACTTCTTCCTTTTTAAACGTCGTTGGCCTTCCAGTCTGCTGTGCCTCCCCTTTAGGGCCTGACTCTGATTCTGTTATTTACCAGATGAACTACCCCACCCCAAACTGAATGGCACAACTCCCCGACTTCCTTTCCTGCAGCTCCTGGGTGACTTCATCATCTCCACCCAGGCTCTCAAGGTCCTTGACAGTTCTACAGGTAGGCACAGCCTCTACTGGGGCCCCACTGCCATGGCCGAAAGCTCGAGCACAGCTGCCCCAGCTCGGAAACCTTCAACTCACAATCCTCTCACTATAGCCTCCTATTCTTCCAGTCTCTCACTCAGCTGTCCCAAGACCTGACTGAGACCTTCAGTCCCTTGAACCCTCTATTTCTACCTGTCAGTTCCATTCTGTTTTTACTGTAACCCTATTTTGGTTGAGATAAGGGGTCAGCAAACTTTTCTTAGACAGTAAATATTTTAGGCTATGTGAGCCAAGGGGCATATTATAAGATATTACACAAGTACTTTTGTAAACATTAAAATGAGAGAAAAAAAAAAACAACAAAACAAGCAGTGGGCCAGATTTGGCCTGTGGCTGCAGTAGGCTGACCCCTAGTCCTGACTTTTTGGTTTATCTCTTTAACCACTTTGTCGCCAACTTCCTCAACACCTTTGTGCCACGCTTCTGTCACATCTACGGTGCAAACTGACAACCCCAGATCAAACTAAGTTACTTACCTTCTATCAACACTAAGGCTTCCCATGCAGGCTGCAGGTGGAACTGCTTGAAAGAAAATACACACCATACAGCTCTGCAGATGGGAGCACCTCTATGCTGCTGCCTCCAACTTCAAACTCTGGTCTCTACTCAGCGATCTTTCTTTTTTCTCCAAGTCTGTTATTCTCTGCTCTTCTCCACAGCAATTACTGCAAACCCTTTTCGACTTATCACAAACATTACTTAACCACCCTCTCACTCTCAGTCCATAACTACTGACACCTTCAATGAGAAAAAATTCATTAAACTGGAAGTTTTAGCTTCACGCACATCCTTGCTTCCTCTGTCTTGACATCTTCATTACTAAAGGTAACCCTTCCATCTGGACATCCCAATCTCCCTAAGTTAACTGAGTCCCATCAGTTAACTGTCCTGGTGCCTGTTATCTTCCACCCTTTCTTCTTTCCAAGCTCTTTTCCATTAGCATTAAGTAACTTCCCTCAAAGAGATCCTCAGCCTCCCCTCATCCTCCCTGAACAGCCAAAATTCTTCAAAGAACTGGCTATATTCACGGTTTCCAATTCACCCCTCAACCCGCTAAAATCTGTGGCTTCCTGGTTCACCAATTCACTGACAGTGTTTTTGCCAAGATCACTAATGACTTACTTGTTGTTAGATTCAGTTGAACAACCCTCCCTCGCCCACCCAACCCGGCCCCACGAACACTTTTTTTTCCCACAAATCCTCATCCTTGATATGCTTGGATTCCATTGAGGTCATACTTTTCTAGTTTTTCTCCAATCTCACTGGCTACTCTTCAATCTTCTTCCTCTTCCCTAACTACCCCTTAAATTTAATTGGTTTTCTTGAGGATTCAGTCTGAGGTTTTCTTTCCTTTCCTGTCTAATATTTTTCCTTGAACTACCACATTTAAGCTGGTAACTATACTATATACCAAATCTATACTCTCAATCTAGATTGTGTTCCTAATCTCCACATCTGTATACTTAAAGAAGCTACTACATATCTCTATTTGAATGTTCAACTGACACTGGGTCAGATTTCATGTTCAAGGGAAAACACACCAGTTTTCCCCACAAAGCCTGCTCTTCTCCACTGTTGGCTAGTTCAGTAAGAGGCTCCACCATCCATTTGCCTAGGCAACTCTAGGAAGACTGCCTGGAGAAAGCACAACTATATACCACAGGAGTAAATCTCTAGTTGGAGTATGCAAGAAGAAAGAAACAGGAGATACCAAGACTCTAAGCCCAGTAAGAAACTGGCCTGTCTGAAGACTGTAAGTAGTTCAACCAGTTGGGAGTGAGGACAAACAAGCCTCCTGGCTTGAAGAAATGAACTGAAGTGGGTAGGCGCTGTGTAAGAACTCTTCATTTATCCCAGGCTTTAAGTCCCCCCACATTTATTTATGTTGGAATATATTTTTTGAGGGGAACAATGGACTGAAAATAGGAGTCAGCAAGACTGAATCAGAGGTGGGAAGGGACCAGTGTGATCATTCAAGCTAACTGCTTCACATTATGCTTATGAAAACCAGGACCTCTGCAAGATCACAAGGCTAGTTTGTGACACAGCTGGGACTAAAACTGACACACTCAACTGTACTCTTTCTTCCATAACATGTATTTTCTAAGTTCGACTTTTCTTTGGTTATTTAAAAAAGGACACCATTTATGTCATGCAATGGGTCAAATATTTCTTTGTTGTCTTTGTTTCCTGAACAAAGGGCCTTTTATCGTCCTTAGCTTTTACTGCACGTCTCAGCTCAGGCCTCAGCATACCTGATTATTATTCTAAACCTAAAAAGGATCATGCTATTCTTCTTAGTTATTTTTTTTTTTAAGATTTTATTTATTTATTTGACAGAGAATGAGAGAGAGAGCACATGAGAGTGGGGAGGGTCAGAGGGAGAAGCAGGCTCCCTGCCGAGCAGGGAGCCCGATGCGGGACTCGATCCAGGGACTCCAGGATCATGACCTGAGCCGAAGGCAGTCGCTTAACCAACTGAGCCACCCAGGCGCCCTCTTCTTAGTTATTTTTATGTGCCTTTCTGTCAATAAACTGTACATGTAAATAATATTCCTGGTAAAATTAAACTGAAGTATGAAATCTTCCATTTCTGTCACTTTACTGAAAGTACTTTAAAAATCTGTACTAGAAAAAATATTAAGAGCATTCTCATTAAAATATTACTGACTTGTCATTATTAACACATTAGCTGTATCAAATTATGAAAAATTTTAAATTTCAAAAAGGTACAGTTAAGTAATATAACATTCATGTCCCCCTATCCAGTTATATATCAAATCCTAACATTTTTACTTGTTCCACATTTGTCAAACAAATAGTTATTACTGAAACTGGTGAAGCCTCCTCTGTAACCTCCCTCTCCCGCTCCCCCTCCTTCCCTCTACTATGGTAAATGCTACCATGTATATGGTGTTCATGATTCTCATGCATATTTTATACTATTACTACATAACATACTGAGGTATTTTGCATGTTGTCAAACTCTAATTACATATTACTCTGCAATAAGCTATTTTCACATGACATTATGTTTGAAATTCATACAACTTAATGCATGTAGCCCTAGTGCAGGGGTTGGCAAATTTCTGCGAAGGACCAGTTAGTAAATTCTTTTAGGCTCTGTGGATCATATGGTCTCCGTCACAACTACTACTTTCTGCTGTGGCCGTGCAGAAGCAGCCGCGGACAACACCTGGATGAACATACAGCAGCGGTGGGCTCCACTAAAACTCATTTATAAAAACAGGCGGGAAGCCAGATTTGCCGACCCCTGCTCCAGTGAACCCACTTTCAGTGCTTTGTAGAACTCTACTGCGTACATTTACTGTGATTTACCACTCAGTCTCCTGTTTATGAACTTTCAGGTTGTTTTTAAACTTCCACTTACAAATACGTAATTTACAAATAATAAATCTTCTTATGTATTTCCTTGTGCATGTGTGTGATTCTCTAGAGGCCACATCTAAGAACAAAAGTTTTAATTTTGCTAATTATAAAATTGCTCTGCAAGTGGTTGTATCAATTTATACTTCAACCAGCAGTGTATGAAAGTGTCCTTTCGGGCGCCTGGGTGGCTCAGTTGGTTAAGCGGCTGCCTTCGGCTCAGGTCATGATCCTGGAGTCCCGGGATCGAGTCCCACGTCGGGCTCCCTGATCAGCAGGGAGTCTGCTTCTCTCTCTGACCCTCCCCCCTCTCATGCTCTCTATCTCATTCTCTCTCTCAAATAAATAAATAAAATCTTTAAAAAAAAAAAAAAGAAAGAAAGAAAGTGTCCTTTCCCACAACTTTGCCAATACCATTTATTGTCAGGCTTTTTTGTTTTTTGTCAATTTGGTAAGTATGAAACGAGTATCTCATCATTTCAAATTTTTTGGCTACTAGAGATGGTTTGCATCTTTTATAAGCTTTTCAGCTATT